GGAAGAAAGAATTAAAGGAAAGAAAGAAAGACAAGAGAAGGAAGGAAAGAGAAAGAAAGAAAGAAAAGAAAGAAAGAAAGAAAGAAAGAAAGAAAGAAAGAAAGAAAGAAAGAAAGAAAGAAAGAAAAAAGAAAGAAGGAAGGAAGGAAGGAAGGAAGGAAGGAAGGAAGGAAGGAAGGGAGGGAAGAAGGAAGGAAGGAAGGAAGAAGAAAAGAAAGAAAATATGAAAGGTTGCATATCCAATCTGGAAACTCTTTGAGGGCAGGTTTCTGCACATATAGTCATTGTATTTTATTGATTGATGGTACTTTATTGATTAATTGTATTTGATTGATTGATTGATTGTGTTGTCAAAGGCTTTCATGACTGGAATTGGGTTGCTGTGAGTTTTCCGGGCTTTATGGCCATGTTCCAGAAGCATTCTCTCCTGACGTTTCGCCTACATCTATGGCAGGCATCCTTAGAGCTGCAAGTCTCTTCTGGTGCAAGGGAATCGGCCATCTACAAAGACATTGCCCAGGGGATGCCCGGATGTCAGTCTTTATAAAGATCTACAGAGATACTTGCAGGGAACACCCCAGCAAGCGAGAGTCCAAAAGTGGCAGGCTAAAACCCGGAACCTTAATCCATGGCTGATATTGAATGAGAGACTCCCCCCTGGGCACACAGAAGACTGGGTGACTTGGAAGGCACTGAACAGACTATGCTCTGGCACCACGAGATGCAGAGCCAACCTTAAGAAATGGGGCCACAAATTGGAGTCCACGACATGCGAGTGCGGAGAAGAACAAACTACTGACCACCTGCTGCAATGCAACCTGAGCCCTGCCACATGCACAATGGAGGACCTCCTTGCGGCAACACCAGAGGCACTCCAAGGGGCCAGATACTGGTCAAAGGACATTTAGTATAATGCATTTAACTTGTATTGTCGAAGGCTTTCATGGCTGGAATCACTGGGTTGTTGTAGGTTTTTCGGGCTATATGGCCATGTTCTAGAATCATTCTCTCCTGACGTTTCGCCTGCATCTATGGCAAGCATCTCAGAGGTAGTTTGTGTTTTTAAATACATTACAAGTGTACCCTTGGTTTGCTTCTGATACAATAAATAAATAAATATCCTCACAACCTCTGAGGATGCCTGTCATAAATGTGGATGAAACGTCAGGAAGGAATGCTTCTGGAACATGGCCATACAGCCCGGAATACTCTCAGCAACGCAGAATATTGATTGTGATGAAATGCATGCGGTGACATATGCAGCCATTAATTTTATTCCTCTTACTACACTGTAATTGCATGAGGGAAAATAAATCCAAATTCTTCCCTTGGTTCCCCTTCCCCTCCGCATTTATTCTTCTGATGCATTTGTCATGTTTAAATGTCGGATTTTGTTGCAAAATACCATGCACATAAATGTTCTCTCTCTCTCTTTCTCATAGATCTTAACAAGCGCCAAATCCAACATGGAATTCAAAGAAAGCCAGGTAGCTTGACCATGCAAAATCCAATTAGACTGACAAGGTAGGCAGCATTTTGTACAGTTTTCTCACCTGAAGAGTTGTCCGCAAACACCCGCCACCTACTATAGACAGAGAAAAGAAAAATACTAGCATTTATTTATTTATTTATTTATTTATTTCACAGCTATAGAAACCTCACTTGCCTAGTTTCCAACAGACCTCACAATCTCTGAGGATGCCTGCCATAGATGTGGGTGAAACGTCAGGAGAGAATGCTTCTGGAACATGGCCAGACAGCCTGGAAAACTCACAGCAACCCATTATTGTTCTTGTTTAGCAAAAAAGGAAAGATTGGCACAACTCGTCAGAAACGTTTTGTCTCATGTGAATCTGAATTCCCTGGCTTTTGATTTTTTGCCATTATGATATATACACCTTGATTCTGTGCCTACAAACATGTACTGTATATACTCGAATATAAGCCTAGTTTTCCAGCCCTTTTTTAGGCTGAAAAAGCCCTCCTCAGCTTATATTCAAAGCTATTTATTATTTTACTCTGTTGTTATTATTATTACATTTATTATTTTACTCTATTTTATAAATAAAATTATTTGACTCTATTATTACTACATTTATTATTTTGCTCTATTTATTATTATTATTTGACTCTATTTATTATTGTTATTATTACATTTATTCGTTTACTCTTATTTATTATTACATTTATTCTTTTACTCTATTATTATTATTTTACTCTATTATTGTTGTTAATACATTTATTTTTTTACGCTATTTAATATTATTATATTTATTCTTTTACTCTATTATTATATTTATTATTTTACTCTATTTATTCTTATTCTTATTACATTTACATTATTTTCCTATATTATTAGTTTTATTACATCTATTCTTTTACTCTATTTATTATTGTTGTTATTACATTTATTCTTTTACTCTATTTAATATTATTACATTTATTATTTTACTCTATTATTATATTTATTACTTTACTCTATTCTTATTATTATTACATTTACATTATTTTACTCTATTTTTATTAAATAAAATTATTTTACTCTATTATTATATTTATTATTTTGTTCTATTTATTATTATTTGACTCTATTTATTATTGTTATTATTACATTTAGTCTTTTACTCTATTTATTTTTATTATTACATTTATTCTTTTACTCTATTATTATTATTTTCCTGTATTTACTATTATTATTACATTTATTATTTTACTATATTTAATATTATTATATTGATTATTTTACTCTATTATTATTTCTATTACATTTACATTATTTTACTCTGTTATTATTTTATTACATTTATTATTTTACTCTATTATTATTACATTTATTATTTTACTCTATTTATTCTTCTTATTATTACATTTACATTATTTTACTCTATTATTGTCACTACATTTAATCTTTTACTCTATTTATTATTGTTGTCATTACATTTATTCTTTTACTCAATTTAATATTAATATATTTATTATTTTACTCTATTATTATATTTATAATTTTCCTCTATTTATTTTTCTTATTATTATTACATTTACATTACTTTTATTATTTTATTACATTTATTCTTTTACTCTATATTATTGTTATTATTACATTTTTACTCTATTTATTATTATTATTATTATTATATTTATTATTTTACTCTATTTATTATTATGCTGCAAGTCGCTTCTGGTTGCAAACCACAGACCACCTACTGCAATGCAACCTGAGCCCTGCCCCATACACATTGGCCAAAGTACATTTAATAGAATACCAAGTCTGCAAACTTTGTGTTTTGTTTGTTTGTTTGGAGTCCAAAGCACCTGGAGGGCCCAAGTTTGCCCAGGCCTACTTTAGGATATTTCCAAGCTTTGTGGATATTTCAATGGTACAGATGTAAATAATTTGTAACATTCGCATTGGAAATATAATGCAAAAGGAACTTTACAATTGAACATTTGCAGAACTCTTAAAGTGAACGATGAAGTCATCAAAATAACCCTAAGATTTGGAAAGGAGTTAGGCGAGATTCTCAGATTTAAAGATATACCATCAAATAGCAAAGTTGGAATTATCCAGGATGTAATATTTCCAATTTCCAGTAAGTGTGTTTGGGAAGAGAATCGATAACCAAAATAACTAAACCGAGGCTGTCATACTTTGGCCATTTCATGAGACAATGGGTTAAACCCTTGTGCCGGCAGGACTGCTGACTGAAAGGTTGGTGGTTTGAGTCCAGGGAGCGGGGCGAGCTCCTGTCTTGCAGCTCCAGCTTCCCATGAAGGGAAATGAGAGAAGCATCCCCTGGGCAGCATCATTGCACATGGCCAATTCTCTCACACCAGAAGCGACTGGCAATTTCTCATGAAAAAAAAGGTTGGAGGTTTGAATCTGGGAAGAGTGCGGATGAGCTCCCTCTCTCAGCTCCAGCTCCTCATAAGGCGACATGAGAGAAGCCTCCCACAAGGATGGTAAAACATCAAAACATCCAGGTATCCCCTGGGCAACGTCCTTGCAGACGGCCAATTCTCTCACACCAGAAGCAACTTCCACAAGGATAGTAAAACATCAAAACATCAGGGCATCCCTGGGCAACATCCTTGCAACTGACCAATTCCCTCACAACAGCAGCAACTTGAAGCTTTTCAAGTCGCTCCTGACATTAAAAAAAGGTCAGAGGTTCGAATCTGGGGAGAGTGCGGATGAGCTCCCTCTCTCAGCTCCAGCTCCCCATGCAAGGACATGAGAGAAGCCTCCTACAAGGATGGTAAAACATCAAAACATCTGGGCGTCCCCTGGGCAACGTCCTTGCAGATGGCCAATTCTCTCACACCAGAAGTGACTTGAAGTTTCTCAAGTTGCTCCTGACATGAAATAAAAGGTCGGAGGTCCGAATCTGGGGAGAGTGCGGATGAGCTCCCTCTGTCAACTCCAGCTTCCCATGCAAACACATGAGAGAAACCTCCCACAAGGATGGTAAAACATCAAAACATCTGGGTATCCCCTGGGCAACGTCCTTGCAGACGGCCAATTCTCTCATACCAGAAGTGATTTGCAGTTTCTCAAGTTGCTCCTGACACAAAAAAACGTTGGAAGTTCAAATCCAGGGAGAGTTTGGATGAGCTCCCTCTGTCAGCTCCAGCTCCTCATGCTGGGACATGAGAGAAGCCTCCTACAAGGATGGTAAAACATCAAAACATCAGGGCATCCCTTGGTCAAAGTCCTTGCAGATGGCCAATTCTCTCACACCAGAAGCGACTTGAAGTTTCTCAAGTTGCTTTTGACATAAAAAAAAGGTTGGAGGTTCGAATCCGGGGAGAGTGCAGATGAGCTTTTTTTGTCAGCTCCAGCTCCCCATGTTGGGACATGAGAGAAGCCTCCTACAAGGATGGTAAAACATCAAAACATCCGGGCGTCCCCTGGGCAACGTCCTTGCAGACGGCCAATTCTCTCACACCAGAAGCAACTTGAAGTTTCTCAAGTCACTCCTGACATGAAAAAAAAAGACAACATGACCCACAAGGAAAAAATATCCTGCAAGCTGAAAGAAAAGGACGAACAAACACAATCCTGGAAGCTACGGCTCTGTGTTTCCAAGACGTGAGCAGAGCTCTTCATAACTGAGTGTCTTGGAGGTCTCTCATTTGCATCCTAAATTGAAGCAATTAATAACAACGCATTGCAACGATGACAACATATTAACCTGTGCAGAGCCAAAGAGGCTTACGTTATTTAGTGGCCAAAAATTACCAAAATTTGGTACATTTCAGGAACAGTAACAGAAACAATGAGCAGTATCATAAAGTGGGTTGTTGTAGGTTTTTCCGGGCTATATGGCCATGGTCTAGAGGCATTCTCTCCTGACATTTCGCCTGCATCTATCATAAAGTCTTTATCAGGGTTCATTTGACAAACTAACAAAATGCTACAGTCAAAGAAAAAGTATACCAAATAAAACATTTTAAAGCTTTTATAGGCATTAAAGTTCTTATTTTATGGGATGCACAGCAGGAATCTAAGCCATGGATATAAGAATATAACCTATTGTTTCCTGTCATTCCCAACCAGAATCCCACATGCCTGGCTCTGAAGGATTTTCCTTCTTAGCTAGAGGTAGACTGCCCCTGAATAAGGAGTTTCCATTGAGCCATTCCTAGGAATGGGGCATCTATAAACCTGACCATAAACAGAGCTGTTCAACAGTGGAACTGACTGCCTCAGAGTGAAGTGGAAGCCTTTTTGGAGGCTTTTAAACAGAGGTTAGATGGCCATCTGTCTGGATTGTTTTGATACTAGATGGCCCATACGGGCTCTTCCAACTCTATGATTCTTGGGTTGTTGTGAGTTTTCTGGCTGTGTTCTAGAAGCATTCTCTCCTGATGTTTCGCCTGCATCTATGGCAGGCATCCTCAGAGGTTGTGAGGTCTGTTGGAAACTAGGAAAATAGGGTTTATATATCTTTGGAATGTCCAGGGTGGGAGAAAGAACTCTTGTCTGTTGGAAGCAAGTGTGAATGTTGCAATTGGCCCCCTTGATTAGCATTGAATGGCCTTAGAAGCATTCTCTCCTGATGTTTTGCCTACATTTATGGCAGGCATCCTGAGAGATCTGTTGGAAACTAGGAAAATAGGGTTATATATATCTGGAATGTCCAGGGTGGGAGAAAGAACTCTTTTCTGTTGGAAGCAAGTGTGAATGTTGGAAGCATTTAAACAGAGGCTGGATGGCCATCTGTCAGGTGTGATTTGAATGCAATATTCCTGCTTCTTGGCAGGGGGTTGGACTGGATGGCCCATGAGGTCTCTTCCAACTCTTTGATTCTATGATTCTATAATTGGCCCCCCTGATTAGCATTGAATGGCCTTGACACTTCAAAGCCAGTTGCTTCCTGTCTAAGGGAATCCTTTGTTGGGAGGTGTTAGCTGGCCCTGATTGTTTCTTGTCTGGAATCCCCCTGTTTTCTGGTCTTATAGCTTTCAGTACACCTGAGGTTCCTTAATATTGGGGACATTGAGGCCAAGCAAGTATCTATACCACCAGTTTATATATATATATATATACATATATGTACACACACCTTCACATGCATATATGTGCACAGAAATAATGAGAGGAATAGAGAATTGGAATATCCATTTCTGACTCAATCGCCTTTGGTTTTAACATCCATAACTAACATGACTATAGATGGGACAAAGAACGCTTGTCTGTTTGAGGCAGGTGTGAATGTTTCAATCGGCCACCTTGATAAGCATTCAATAGCCCAGTAGTTTCAAGGTCTGGCTTCTGACTGCCTGGAGGAATCCTTTGTTGGGACGTGATTAGCTAGCCCTGATTCTTTCTTGTCTGGAATTCCCTGTTTTGAGTGTTTTTCTTTATTTACTGTCCTGATTTTAGAGTCTTTTAATACTGGTGGCCAGATATTGTTCATTTTCATGGTTTCTTCCTTTCTGTTGAAATTGTCCACGTGCTTGTGTATTTCAATGGCTTCTCTGTGTAGTCTGACATGGTAGTTAGAGTGGTCCAGCATTTTTGTGTTCTCAAATAATATGCTGTGTCCAGGTTGGTTCATCAGGTGCTCTACACAGAGAAGCCATTGAAATACACAAGCATGTGGACAAAAATCAAACACAGGGAACTCCAGACAAGAAATAATCGGGAACAACTAATCACCTCTCATCAAAGGATTCTGTGATCCAGTATTTAAAAAACCCTCTAAAATCATAACAGTAAATAAAGAATAAAGAACATATATTTTAAGCAGTTTTTATTGTTGCAAATTTTATCAATCTGTGCGTTCAATCAACTGGATGTTCTTAATCTCATTACCTGCATAACTTGTATGTTTACAGTGCAATAAGGGTATTTGGACCATAATAAAATGTTGTTATTCAAACAACACTCAAAAACAGGGGAATTCCAGACAAGAAACAATCAGGGCTAGCTAATCACCTCCCAACAAAGAATTGCCCAAGGCAGTAAGAAGCCAGGCCTTGAAACTACTAGGCCATTGAATGCTAATCAAGGTGGCCAATTGAAACATTCATACCTAGCTCCAACAGACAAGAGTTCTTTTTACCCACCCTGGGCATTCAACATATATATAAACCCACTTTTTCCTAGCTTCCAACAGACCTTACAAGAATCATAGAATCATAGAGTTGGAAGAGACTTCATGGGCTATCCAGTCCAACCCCATTCTGCAAAAAGCAAGAAAATTCTAATATCGCTGAGGGGGGAATTCCACAAGCGTGCGGTCACCACCGAGAAGGTCCTGTCCCTCATCCCCACCAGATGCGTTTGCGAAGCTGGTGGGACCGAGAGCAGGGCCTCCCCAGCAGATCTTAATAACACTTTAACACTTTATTTGTACCCCGCTACCATCTCCCCAAGGGACTCGGTGCGGCTTACATGAGGCCGAGCCCAAATACAACAATACAAGCAAAACAACAACAGTACAAGCAATTAAAATAAAACATAGACAATAAAATATACAACGTTATCAATAAGACAACACGCAATTAAAAACAGTGGGAAGGCCAAATGTAGAGTTAAAATGGAAATAATGCTGGGACATGGACGAAAGGTGATAGACTACGAGGTGGAACATAGAGGGAGATACGTTCGGATAGGAAAGCTGGGATGGAACCGTATAGGGCTTTATAGGCCAAGACCAGTAACAATTAGTTATATCATCACCCAATCACATAGTCACACATCCAATTCCAAATTATCATAACTGTCATCAAGTCCAGTTCCATGTTCAAAGTGCTGCTACACACACTAGCCAAAGGCCTGGTTCCATAATCATGATTTTAGTTTTTTTCCTGAAGGAAAGGAGGGAGGATGCCGATCTAAACTTTCTGGGGAGCGAATTCCACAAGCGGGGGGGGGGGCCGGGGGGGGGGTCCCCACCAAGAAGGTCCTGTCTCTCGTCCCACCAGACGCGTTTGCAAAGCTGGTGGGACCGAGAGCAGGGCCTCCCCAGCAGATCTTAGACTACGAGGTGGAACGTAGAGGGAGATACGTTCGGATAAGTAAGCTGGGCAGCGAATTCCACAGGCAGGGGGTCACCACCGAGAAGGCCCTATCCCTCGTCCTCACCAGACACGTTTGCGAAGCTGGTGGGACCGAGAGCAGGGCCTCCCCAGCAGATCTCAGACTACGAGGTGGAACGTAGAGGGAGATACGTTCGGATAAGTAAGCTGGGCAGAGAATTCCACAGGCAGGGGGTCACCACCGAGAAGGCCCTATCCCTCGTCCTCACCAGACACGTTTGCGAAGCTGGTGGGACCGAGAGCAGGGCCTCCCCAGCAGATCTTAGACTACGAGGTGGAACGTAGAGGGAGATACGTTCGGATAAGTAAGCTGGGCAGCATATTCCACAGGCAGGGGGGTCACCACCAAGAAGGCCCTATCCCTCATCCTCACCAGATGCGTTTGCGAAGCTGGTGGGACCGAGAGCAGGTCCTCCCCAGCAGATCTCAGACTACGAGGTGGAACGTAGAGGGAGATACATTCGGATAAGTAAGCTCGGCAGCAAATTCCACAGACAGGGGGTCACCACCGAGAAGGCCCTATCCCTCGTCCTCACCAGACGCGTTTTCGAAGCTGGTGGGATTGAGAGCAGATCTTAGACTATGAGGTGGAACGTAGAGGGAGATACATTCGGATAAGTAATCTAGGCAGTGAATTCCACAGGCAGTGGGTCACCACCGAGAAGGCCCTATCCCTCGTCCTCACCAGACGCGTTTGCGAAGCTGGTGGGATTGAGAGCAGATCTTAGACTATGAGGTGGAACGTAGACTAAGATCTGCTGGGGAGGCCCTGCTCTCTGTCCCACCGAGAGCTGGTTCACTGGGACTGATAAGTAAGCTGGGCTGGAACCGTATAGGGCTTTAGAGGCCAAGACCAGCACTTTGAATTGTGCTCGGAAGTGGACTGGCAGCTAGTGGAGTTGACATAACAGGGGGTGGTGTCACCAAAACAATGACAGCAAATCAAGAGAGTGACACAGAAACAGATGCCGGAGAAGAAGCTCGGAGATGAGGACAGTGCCGGGTGGTGCGGGAGATGGAGGAAGAAACCAAGCCGGGGATGCGATGCTGGCAGAAGGTCTCCATCACCACCCTCTTCTGCCCCAGTCCATGCATCCGATGCCTTCACCTCCAAGCCTGGACTCCCTAAGAGCCAGGCAGGGAATGGGTTAATGTGTAGACCCTTCTACTTCCGGATGTGTTCATAGCTCAGGGCTGTGGAGCTGGGAGAAGGAGAGCATCTTTCTTTCTCTGCCTCCCCTCCTCCTCCTCCTCATCATCTCTCCATCTAGATAGAATAGAAAGGAGAGCATCCAAACAGAGAGAAAGAAAGAGAGAGAGAGGGTGCCCAGAGAGGAGGATAAACACACAGTAAATACAATATTATCCATATGATAGGTATTGTCATCTTCGCCCCAGTCTTTATATTTTTTCCAACCGCTCCCCTTGAAGAATTAGGTTGACAGGTCACTTGGGTCCCTTGACTCCCCACATCCAGGCCCCCCATCCCTCTCCTGTCCAAGACCTACGGCTGCTTTAAGAGGAGGAGGAGACCAGGAGAAA